GGGGGGGGGGGGAAGCTGTCATTTAATCTTTCTGAAATAAAATTTTCACCCATTAACTAGAGACAAAAATACCTATCTTGGAGGATGACTGAGAGGATTCGAGATGATGGGAGTATAGTAGCCCCTGAATGAAAACCACTTCTGATTATTTCCGTGGTCATTGTTACCGTCCTATCGCACTAGCTTGCAGTCTCTGGTCTACGCCGTCTCCATTTGCTTTGTGTGACAGCAGGTCGTGGATAAGACTGTCTTGACCACTAGACGGCAAGCTCACTGTGGGCAGGACTCACGATTTCCCGCCTGGAGTTTCCATCCCGGCACCAAGCCGGGATTGCGGGCGCTCAAGAGGAGAAGGGACCGGGATAAATGCAGAAAAACCTGCACTGACAGGCGCACGCAGAGCTATGCGGCAACCCAGGATTCTCCCGAAGTCTTCGTCGCGGGACACAGAGGGCGGAGTCAGGGCCGGGGCGGGGCCTGGCCCCGGGGCGGGGCTTGGCGCGGATCCCTCCCCGGTCCGTCCGCGAACGTGCTCCGCTGGGTGAGTCCGCGCGCGGCTCTGTCCCGGCGCTGCAAGTGAGCTGCGCGTGGCCTCGCGGGCCGGGGTGCGGCGGCAACATGCGTCCGCTGCTCGGCCTCCTCCTGGTCTTCGCCGGCTGCACCTTCGCCCTGTACTTGCTGTCGACGCGACTGCCCCGCGGGCGGAGTCTAGGCTCCAGCCAGGAGACTGAGGGCAGGTGTGTGGCAGGGCTCGGGACTCGGGTCAGAGGGATGGCGCCAGCTCCGAGGATGGGGGCTGGGAATCGGAGATCAGGTTCCCTGGTCTCGGAGACGTCAGGGTTGGGATTTGAGGTTCATTTCCATATCCCGGCCCGCATCTGCATCACATGGGACAGGCGGGTGAATGGGAGCCCGGGCCCGGCCCTGAACCGGACCTGCGTGTCGCCGTCTGCGCGGGGCGCGCGTGCAGTGCCGTGGTTGGGGCGGTGTTTGCGGGGGGCAACGCTGCGCTGTCCCCGGGCTGAGCCTGCCCGCGTCGTGGCTTCGCCTCTCCGTCCCAGCCCTGGACCCCGTTTCCAGACGGCCTGCGCCCCTCGGGGGACCCCCCGCCCTTTCACATCCACTTTCACGTCCTTTCTCCTCCCCGGCCCACTCCAACCCCGTCAGATCTGCCCTTGGGACTTTAAGGCATTAAGTCTTCAGGAGAATCGTTGCATGAACAACTTTAAATTATTCACGAATTAATTATCGGGTTTGTCCATCATCCTGGCAGTCTCTACTTTTTCCCTTCTGATTGAGCAGCTGGGTGATGAGCAATACCTACCTGGCTGGTTTTTGTGAGTGCTGCATACTATTTATAAAGTGCATGGAAGTGTGCCTAACACAGCACCGCCTTGTCAAGGGATTTGCTGATAATTGAGTGTTAGGGTAACTGTTTTAAGTTACTGTGTCCTTTTGCTCTAGACATACCAGCATTTTCGTGAGAACTGGGAGGGTTTGCTTATACTTGATCAGTGAAGGAATCAAGGACTGTTCAGGTGGCAGAGGCAAGGTGGCCTTTACACTGTAACCCTTGGACACAGGATTCAGAGTGCACTGAGGACCAGATTAAGAACATAGTGAAAAAAAGCAGGCTCTTTGATAGGGTTGGTTTAGAACCTGACATATTAACAAGATAGTTATGTTTGTGGTATGGGATAGATATACTTTCCTGGAGAATCTTTGATTTGTGTGTGTGTGTGTGTGTGAATGGTAAAACAGTTGTTTTATCTAGTACCTAGAACTGTGTGAAGTCTGAATTGTACTTGCTTGTAGGGGAGGGCGTGTCCTTGAAAGGAAACAGATTTAGGACATTTGGTACTATCCTGGAAATGAGTTCATTTGCCTCTTAATAGGTCATAACATCTGAGAGCTAAAAGAAAACTGAATGATTATCTAGCACCAACCCCTCGTTTTTTATATAAGGAAACTGAGGCCCAGAGACTAGCCTAGGGTCACACAACCCAGAAGGTAACCAGAGTCTGGATGCTGACCCAGGTCTCTTGCTTCCAAGGCAGGGCTCTTCTGTCTGCCTCTGCTGTGTTGTATTGGGTCCATCATCTTGGGTTCACGTTATGTATGAGTTCCCAGCAGGCCAGATGATGGCTATATTTATAAACCTGCTTTGGAAAGAAGACACAGCAAGTGACTTTCTTAGGCACTGGGCTGAGCTGGACTCATGTTTCCATCTGCTTTTCCAAATTTGCAGATCACTGTGGTTCCCCTCAGACCTGGCGGAGCTACGAGAGCTCTCGGAGGTCCTTCGAGAGTACCGGAAGGAGCACCAGGCCTACGTGTTCCTGCTCTTCTGCAGCGCCTACCTCTACAAACAGGGCTTTGCCATCCCTGGCTCCAGCTTCCTGGTCGGTATCCTGCCCTCCCTCCAACTGTTTATCTGAAAATTCAGATACTCTCTGTAACCTCCTGCATTGTTGTGCGAGAGGATTAAATGTAACTGGTTGTAGAGGGACTGGCACGCAGTGGCCCTTAGCACTTACTGAAGGACTGAGTGGAGAAACAGGAGACTCAGAAAGCTTCCTTTTGTCCTGCTTACTTTTCCTGCCTCAACATCTTTACTCTAGGCTCAGGTTGGATTTGCTCAAGTAGTTTCTATGTTGGAAACTAGAAGAAAAGCAAACACGTCCAAAAGAGGCAGAAGAGATGTGTGGTGCTCAAGGTCAGGCTGACTCCTTGGGGCTTTCCCTGTGTCTCTCTTCTCTCTTGAGCCGATCCTTCTTCAGGGAAGAGATCCAGCTGCTCCCCAGTGGGACTCCACACCCAGACCGGGGTGAATCCTGACTCTGCCTTGGCAAGATACTTAATCTTTCACCGATAGAATGGGGTAAGGTTAGTGTATGACACAGGGGTATAGTCCTCACTAGTCAAGCAATTAACGCACAGTTGGTGCTCAGTGAATTCCTACCTTTCTACTTCCAAAGCCCCTTTTACTCTTGAATCCCATGTTTTGGCAGGATGATGTCTACCAGTCAAACTGCATTTAGAAAGTATTGGTTCACTTTTCCATTTTTGTTAAACTGAAATGTCTTTAAGTGTCAGCTACAAGCTGGGCTCAGTGGCTCAGCCTGTAATCCCGCGCCTTTGAGAGGCTGAGGTGAGTGGATTGCCTGAGCCTGCGGGTTCGAGACCCACCTGGGCAGCAAGATCCTCATCTCTACAGTAAATCAAAAAATCAGCCGGGCGTGGTAGCGCATGCCTGTAATTCCGGCTACTCGGAAGGCTGAGGCGGAAGGATAGCCGGAGCCCAGCAGGTCAAGGCTGCGGTGGCCGGGAGCGGCCACTGCGCTCCAGTCTGGGTGACAGAGTGAGACTCCAACTCAAAAAAAAAGAAAAAAAAAAGTGTCAGCTACAACGCTGGTCAACGTGAAACTTTCAGAATTAGCACACTACCTAGATGTAACTCCAGCAAAAAGCAAAGAACACATCTTATTTAGCTGTGTGGTCTTATCAAGGGAAGACCTATGGTTTGTGTTCATCCTTTGATATAGTAAAAGTAACTTGTAAGTTTCATTTCTACATTCTTAGAGTCCCAGTGATTGCAGGATCTACCACAGTCTATGCAGGCTGGGTGCTATATACACATATTACCCATTTGATTTTCTCCTGCCACCTGAGGCTTTAATCCCTGTCCTCATTTTAAAGGTGATGAGCCCAAGGCCAAGGTTGTAGTTCCTAGCCTTTTCATCATTTTCATTAAACTCTTTTTAAAAATTTTATGCATTTATTTATTTGATTGGAAAATATAGTTTATTTAGAAAGTAAATTAGAGAGAGAGGGGAGATTCACCTCTCCAAGGTAGGAGAGGGGGCCAAAGTTTAGGAAACATGGCAGCAACCATAGGTGAAAGAGCATATGGCCACACCAGAGTTTAGTAAAGCAATGATCTAAAATTTATTTTTTTGAGAGAGTCTTGTTCTGTCATCCAGGCTGTAGTGCAGTGGTGGATCATAGCTCACTGCAGCCTCCTGGGCTCAAGGCCTCCCAAGTAGCTGGGACTATAGGTACACTTGCTACCATGCCTGGCTAATTTTTATTTTTTGGAAAGACAAGGTCTCACTATGTTGCCTAGGCTGGTTTTGAACTCCTGGCCTCAAGTAATCCTTCCACCTTGACCCCTAAAGTGCTGGGATTACAGATGTGAGCCCCTGTGCCTGGCTCATTTACCTCTTTAAAATGGGAGTTGAGTTTTGGCTAGGAAAACTACTGAGAGAGGAAGGAACCTATGACTCTTAGACACCAAGATGAGGCGAATGGTATCTGCAAGGTATTCTCATGGCTAAGGGTTTGTGTTTTTTTGCAGAATGTTTTAGCTGGTGCCTTGTTTGGGCCATGGCTGGGGCTTTTGCTGTGCTGCGTGTTGACCTCAGTGGGTGCCACGGGCTGCTACCTGCTTTCCAGTATTTTTGGCAAACAGCTGGTAGTCTCCTACTTTCCTGATAAAGTGTCTCTACTGCAGAGGAAGGTAAGGGGAGGGGACATATCTGGGGGCTGGGCCCATAGGCAGTCACCTCATGGCCTGGAGGGGATTGAGGAGCAGGGATTTCCCACAGGGCTCCACCTTGTCTCAGGAGGTCCTAGGGGTTCTTTGATGCCTTCAGGAGCACAAACCTGGGATCAAATCCCAGCTCAATCATTACCAGCTCTGTGACTTTGGGCTAGTTTCCAACTTCTTTGATCCTCAGTACCTCCATTTTTTAAATGGGGAGAACAGTCTCCACCCCGGAGGGTTGTTGGAAGCATTGGGAACAGAATATGGAATGTGTTTAGAACAGCGGCTGACTCCATCAGGTTTTTCAGTACCTGGAAACCCTTTCTGCTTCTTAACGGCCTTGTCCTCTTTGGCTACAGGTGGAGGAGAACAGAAACAGCTTGTTTTTTTTCTTACTGTTTTTGAGACTTTTTCCCATGACGCCAAACTGGTTCTTGAACCTCTCAGCCCCGATCCTGAACATCCCCATTGTGCAATTCTTCTTCTCAGTTCTTATTGGTAAGATGCTGGCGGGGTAAGTTGGAGTCTTCAGAGTTGTCATGTGGGGAACTGCCCTGGGTTACCAGCCACATGGGCCGGTATCTGCCCCTGAGCCCACAGGCCCACAAAGAGCATCTTTAAGCTTTCCGACTTAAAGGAATTATTCCTGATTTCAAATCTACTCAGGCTTGAGCATGAGAACTCATAAGAATCCTTTAGGAATAAATATTGTTAATTCTACAACTGAATTTAGTGCCTAGTGTGTGCCAAGCCTGCGCTAGGCACTGGGATTAGAAGAGATAATCTGTGTAAAGCACACAGCTTCGTCCATAGTAAGTGTCCAATAAATACTAGCAGGAAGGGCAGAGTTGGAGTGAGAGGATGTGGCCATGAGTTTTGGGTGAGGACAAAAGCAAGGAGCAGAGCAAGGGACTTCCTGTCTGGCTTTGGCCCCTGGTTTGATTAAGTTCTACCTTAGGAAGAGCTGACATCCATGAGGTTCCTTCTTGCCTTTTTGACAGTGGCATGACTTTCAGCAAGCTACTTACCTTCAGTGGACCACTTGGCCAGATGAGAAGCTGAGGATAGAGCAGTGTTTCTCAAAGTGTGGGCCATGAGGCAACTGATCAGAATGGTAATAGGGGAGAGTCTTGTAGAAAATCTAGATTCTGGGGCCTACTTCAGACCTACAGAATCAAAATCTTGGGAGTAGGATCTGGGAATATGCTTTTTAATCCGATTCCTAGTCAATGATTCTCACACTCTGTAAACCTGTCAGAAAATCACTTTGGGCCAGGCTCAGTGGCTCAGCCTGTAATCCCAGCACTTTGGGAGGCCTGGGGGTTTGAGACCAGCCCAGGTAACTTGGTGAGTCCTCGTCTCTACAATAAATAAAAAATTAGCCAGGCATGGTAGCACACGCCTCTAGTTCCGGCTACTTGGAAGGCTGAGGCGGAAGGATCACTGGAGCCCAGCAGGTTGAAACCAGGGAGGCTGTGAGCATGCCGCTGCACTCCATCCTGGGCGACAGAGTGAGATTCCCACTCAAAGTAAAAAAAAATCACTTAGGGGCTAGGTGGGGTGGCTCAGCCTGTAATCCCAGCACTTTGGAAGGCCAAGGCGAGAGGATTGCCTGAGCCTGGGGTTCGAGACCAGCCTGGGCAACTTGGTGAGATCTTACTTCTACTATAAATTACACAAACTAGTTGGGTGTGGTGGCGTGCACCTGAGTTCCAGCTACTTGGAAAGCTGAGGCAGAAGGATTGCCTAAGCCCAGCAGGTTGAGGCTGTGGTGGCTGTGAGCATGCCACTGCACTCCAGCCTGAGCCACAAGAGTAAGACTTCAACTCAAAAAAAAAAAAAAAAAATCACTTGGGGAGCATTTTTAGCAATCCTTTATTAGGTCGTACTACTCATCAACTAAATCATCATCTCTAGAGTAGGACTCAGGGGCCAGCATCTTATAAAGTTTTCCAGGTGATGCAAGTATGCAGCATGAGTAGCTAGTCCCTGGAAGGGATTCTGCTAGATCCTGAGTTTTTGAATCCACTGAATTAGAAGATTTCTAAAGTCTCCCTTTGTCTTTGACAACTGTATGACTTCCAGCATGCTATCCTCCATGGGCTACTCAGCCAGATAAGGGGCTGGACCTAGAGCAGCATTTCCCAAAGTGTGGGCCTTGGACCACCAGTACCAGAATGGTAAAGTGCTAACATCCTGCAAAATCAGTAACTGTTACTTTCTGTATGCTGGAAGTAAACAACCCTCTTTCAGGCTAAAGCAAGGATTGCCTTCTCTTAAACCTTCCTTAGAGCGTGGAGGGAAGGACGATTCAGGGCTTCTAGGTCAAATGGAACAAATCTGTAGTGGAGCAGCTACTATTAATAGGAATGCCTGAGAGAAATTGAGATCTTAAATCGAAACAAGATCTACCACAGCCAATTCTGGAAATAGTTGCTTTCAGACAAAGTACCTCAGTGCCTCAGATAGTGGGTGTTAAAGCTCGCAATTACCTTGATGCCACAAGGATTGGAAAATCTCTGGAGACTGGTATCCTGTCCCCCATCTGACAAGCTTGTGATCTTGAGGGGTCTGTGATACTTCCTCTTATGTGGCATAGGAATGGATTACCTGGGGTTCCAAACCAATTGAAATCTTGGGGTGGGAGTGGGGAAGAGGCTTCTAAAATACAGGTTCTTGGGCTCTACCCCAGAACCAAGTAACCAGAATCTCTGGGGTGGAGGCTGAGAATTTTTAAAACAACTTTACTAGGGAATTGTTATGCAACCAACCTGTCCAGCCACCAGTCAGAATTTTGGGATCTAGTGGATTTGATGACTTAGTGACACTGCAGAATACAAAAAGTAGTACTTTTTCCAAAAAACTGTTTTTTAAAAATCCCATGCAGCCGGGCTCGGTGGCTCAGCCTGTAATCCCGCGCCTTTGGGAGGCTGAGGTGAGTGGATTGCTTGAGCCTGTGGGTTTGAGACCCGCCTGGGCAGCGAGACTTCATCTCTACAATAAATAAAAAAATCAGCCAGGCGTGGTAGCACATGCCTGTAGTTCCGGCTACTTGGAAGACTGAGGCGGAAGGATCACCAGAGCCCAGCAGGTCGAGGCTGCGGTGGCCGGGAGTGGCCACTGCATTCCAGTCTGGGCGACAGTGTGAGACTCCAACTAAAAAAAAAAAAAAACTCATGAATAGTGTAAATCTCATAATGATGGTGCTTCTTTCTTTACTTTGGCTGTTGGGCACTCAGAACCAGATCTGGGTCCCATCTTTAGCAAATGGGTGAACCTTATGCATTTTTGTATTAACTGTAAGCCTTGACTTAACGTATTCTTCTGCACTCATTTTGTCTTACTATTTTAAAATTTTTGCCCAATTGTAGCATATATGTATCGTGTAAGCTATCTCAAGTTCTTCTATTGAACAAGGCAGGTGTACATGGGCGGGGGGGAAAGAGTGGAAAAGAAGGAAAGAAGGGAAAGAGTTCTATGTCGAAGGCTCAAGAGCCAGGCAGAAAAACGAGTCAATGTTCTGAATTCCTGGTGTCATTTTTGAATTGTGATTTTTCTTTTCCTGCCCCAGTAACAAGCTGTTTTCCCTCTTCTTCAGGTTTGATCCCATACAATTTCATCTGCGTGCAGACGGGCTCCATCCTGTCAACCCTAACCTCACTGGATGCTCTTTTCTCCTGGGAAACTGTCTTTAAGCTGTTGGCCATTGCCCTGGTGGCATTAGTTCCTGGAACTCTCATTAAAAAATTTAGCCAGAAACACCTGCAGTTGAATGAAATAAGCAATGCTAATCATATAAATAGAAAAGATACGTGATCTGGTTTTTCTGTTTGCTATCTCCCTGGACTCTACTGCTTATTTGTGTAATGGGTGTAAAGACCCTCATTGTTTTTCAGTTACCCTCAGCAGGTGACTTAGACACTCTGTTCATCTGTGGGCAGTGTCTTGTCATAAAAGGACACTGCTCTTGATGGTGAATTATATCAGGTTTTTGCACCGGCCCTGGCTTAGCAGGACACGCTGTGAAATGGATGACCTCTTAGAAAATCCTGTGTATATTTTATTGTCTGACAAGCTCAGGATAACCAGTTGTATTTGCCTCATGTCAGCCCCTGAGCGGCTTTGGAAGACGATGCTGATTTTCCCTGTCCAGTGTACCTCTTGCAAAGTGACAGACTGTTGTGACAGGTGTCCTGTTAAGTCCCTGTGGATGTTATTCATATCAGTGATGACATGTGAACCTACATCACTGACATCATGCTTCATCTTCTGTTAGTCTCTTGAAGAGTGTTTCTTTTGTACTTTTTTGCTGATGACCTACCTCTTCATAAGTCAAATGAAACAAACCAATGAACTGCCTGGGACTTCCATATAGAGCTCACAAATCGATGATTTCTGTGATCCTCATGGTTGCATGTCCTGACAGTTAAGCTGATTGCAAACAGACCATTAAATGTGAATGGAGCAAACTGTATGTTATGGATATGTTTTTGAGAAATCCTTATCCTTCTGGGTGGGCAGGGCCCTTGACTCACCTGAATCAGATGGTCATCCATACATTTTCTCATCTGTCCTTTCTGCATGGGAATCACTTCTGTGTCCTCCTTCCTGGGGAATAATTCAGGATGGGAGGCTGTCAGCCCTGTATCCTTGAATGTTTTTTTTGGATTTTTCGTTTTTGCCACAAATAACTGAGGAATAATTGTATTTTATCTTTTAATTCAAAGAGGAAAGCATGGTTTCTGCTTACATTGTTGTATCTTGTATCTTAATTGCCTACAGCTGCCATTACTTCCTACAGCTACAGTATTGAATTGGCACAGACCTGGATTAATGCTTCCAAGAACAGAAAGACCTTGGTGCTTAAACCAGCTCTGTGATCTTGTACCAGAACCGTTGCTCTCGATTATCACTTGCTGAGTTAATGATTTGGCTTGGCCAAGAATCTTGCCTAGCCTTTAATCTAGGCCTCTTGATCTACATGAATTCTTAGGAATACTCATGTTCTGTAGGAAGAATGGATTCCCAAATAGTGTTTTTTTGGTCATTGTATGATGCTTTCACACCAAGGATGTCATTTTTAAAAATGTGTTTCTTTAAAAGAAGCCTTGATAACAAGAGTAGGAGGGGTGAGGAGGTGGCAGACTATGAAACCTTGGTAGTCTTCTGGAGTAGGGGAAGGAAAGACAAACAGGAAGTTTTGCCCATGATTGCAAATGTGCCCCCTGCCCCTTTTCAGGAACCTTAGATCTGTCTCCCACTCTCTACCCCCACGATTTTGCAACAATGTGCCTTATCGGTTGTGTGTCTAGGCAAAGCAATTTTCCAATAAATGGATATAAATGTTCTATGTGGTGCTTGTTTGAACACGGTGCTGACTTTCTACTACCCTTGCCAGCGGGACTCAGGATTGGATGCAAATTAGACAATCCAAAAGGGTGTTTCAGCTTTCCACTGTCAGTATACTTCTTCCTAAAATCATTCTTTGGAGACTTTCTCTTTTCCTCCCTATGCTCCCTTTATGGTGGAACAGCTACAAGATGGACGGCAGAAAACCACAGGGAAGAAGCAGAGGGCCTGTCTAGGCCTTTATGGAATACTCAGGAAGAGACTGTAACTGAAGAAAATGATGGCTGACTCTTTTGTGGTTGTATCAAATGCAAGAGCCACAGAAACTGGCTTTCCCCTTTACCTGTTCTTTTTGACTGCAGGAAACCCAGGCATGTGAAGGTGTCCTTTCCCTAAAGTTCGGATAAATGCTGAGATGTGTTAAGGCAGCTCTCAGGACACAAATAGTAATTTAGGAAAAGACAGGACCAGAAAACGGTGAAGTACACGTTTTGTTTAATTCCATGCATTTGTTTGCTTTGATAGTCATTCTTGTTCCCATTGCTGTTCAATACAAAGAGGGAGCCCACATCAGAAAACACTGGGGACCACAGGGGTGGCAGACAAGGGAGTTCGTTTTGAGACTTAACCTCAAAAAAAGAAATTCATTTGCTCCAAACTCATAGGAGTGCAAATTATTGTAATCAAGAATCAAAGAGGGTCTTCTCACTTCCAGAGTCTAGGCAGGGTCATTCTGGAGGGGAAGAATCACCAGATGATATGGTCAAGATGGGACATCTTCCTAACAGCTTGCACATTCTGGTCGGGTGCCCTCTGGCCTGCAACCATTGGAAGACCCTGTCCACCTGGTCACTGGGCAGCAGCCTGGGGCTGGGAGCCAGCGATCCCCTGAGTGCTGTGAAGTGGCTCTGGAGAGCAGGCCTGGGATGCTGCCAGAAGTTTCCTTACAGTGGCCTTGCCATCCACTTGGGGCTTGGCTCTGTGAGAAATTCTGCCATCGTGCCCTGGTCACGTGACAGTTAACAAAAATCTTAACCCAACTCCTTTGGTGTATCCCTGTTTCAGAGCTCCCCTCTTCTGCCACCTGTCCCTGAGAAATGCTCCAGGTACCTCAAGGGTCCTCCACTTAGCAGCCTAGTTCATTTCAACTTGATGAGGCATTTGCAGCGTCAGTTGTAACATGCAAACAAGCAGACTAATAAGATTCTAATGCGTCAGTCTGTGAGGTTGGTTAACACTGGTGGTGTGAGCATACTGGGACATTTGTCCTATGAAATCAGCAAAGAAGAAAAATTTTGCTGCCTGGAAAGGCACTAAATTCATACTGACAGTACAAGTCAAAGTCTTGAACAGAATGTCACATTGATTTGGTACATTCGTTTCACAGAATCTAAGGAAGAAGCAAGTGACTGGGACTTAACACATTAACCCTGTTTATAAAAGGGGAGGAACATGCTAATTCAATACGATGTTGTAATGATGTGAATGAAGAGACATTTTGGGATTTGATCCATCAGCGACTGGTGATTCTTCAAATGGAATTGTAGTCCGAAAGGGCAGTGGGGAGAGGCATGTGGCCTGTCCCTTGTTTATGGCACTGCCCCTGACAGCCCTGGGTGCGATTCACAGGGAGAAGGCTGGTGCGAGCCTGTCATCCTCCCATCGGGCCTACCTCAAGAGCTCAATCCACCTTCAGGAAATTAATTACAAGTTTCAGTCTGGGATGGCAAGTGGATTTTCCCTCATACCCCAATTCATTGCTGCTGCACGTGCTATATTGTGAGAGGTTCTGAGGCTGTGTCAGCTCAGCAGGGAAGAATAAGATGCTCAGTAGACAGTGTTAGTCTTGGGTGTTGGGGATGGAAGTGGTAGATGGTGGTATGTGGGGGTATTTTGGTTTCTGGCTCAGTGGAAAACAAAACAGTACACAACTGCGGATCAGGGCAGGAAATTCCTTGGATTCCAAATATAATGCTCTGGAGAATCCAGTTCCAGGAAGTTCAAGTAGGAATGTTTTAAGTAAAGGAAAAAAAAAAAAAGAGAGAGAGAGAGACATAAGGGCATTGAAGAAAAAAGAGCAAATCATCTGATCAATAAGGATGCGTTTACTCTCAAAGGATGTCGATGCTTCACAGTGAGAGAAGACATTTAAAATAGCCTGGTTGGCACCAAAAAATCCAAACCATCATATCTCTTACTTAGGAAAGGAGAGGGGCATTATTTAGCACAATGAAGCCCTACAGCTGATATCCAGCACTTACTAAATCCTATTTAAAATGTCCTTAATTCTAGGAGGATAGATTTGTTGATACTAATATTTAAAAGACACTATAACAAATCATCTTACAATAGAGCTACCCATCTTTGTCTTTCTAAATAGGAGCTCCTATAATCTTGCAAACAGGTCTAAATTCAGTGGTGATGAGGTCCATTATAATTTCAAAGTGGATACAGGCTGCTCAGTCCCTCTGCTAAGCAAATTTAAGAGGAATTGTTATTTAGAGATCATGATCTAGAAACATGAAAATCAGGACCAAACACTCATCTGCAACACAAATTAAAACTCATCTTGCAATCAGTCAAAACAGATGCTAAATTAATGTGGATATTCATTACGAGGGAGTTAAGCTTTCTATCTAAGAATAAGCTTGAAATCATGGCCTTGTGAAGTTACTTGAAGCACTGGTGAACAGTTGTCAGAACTGAAATATTAGCTTATAAATTCCCTGAGCTTTTGATTCAACACTTTTCAGATGACTGTGCAATTTTAAAGAAATAGACATCAACTTGAGATTTTCCTGGTTATCACAAGGTAGGCAGTGAAAGACCAAACTCAGATAAAAGTGTTTCCCTTTTTATCCTCAACTAGGGACAGTGTTTTTCTCTGAAACCTCTAGTCAATTCTATTAAAACAGTGTGTTCAATGTGAACTTTATTCAACTCTTGACAATACAATGAATGACTGAAGATTCAACCACTATCTACTACCTGACCTGCTTGTAACAGTTACTCCAGATAAAGTGTGTGGCATTAGCAAAATAGAGAGTCAAGATGGGAATTTTAAAAAACGATCAAAATGATGAGGTATAAGGTGCGGGTTTTGTAGGAAAATCATCACTGAAAGGTATAAGATAGAAGTTGACCCTCATGTTTCTTTGTTGCCACTAGAGATGGGCAAAAACTGGACAAACTCAAGTGTCAGTGTTTTATGTTGGCTAGAAAGAGGACATTGAGTGATAGCATCTCCATTCCAAGGAGTCATGAGCCAGAAGGATTCACAGTATGGTGTGACCTGAACTCAAGAGGATAGAAAATACGCCTTTCAAGGTACTTTTCCAGCCCTTGATCCTCTAAGTGACTAGGCCTCCTTCTTGAATTTCTTTCTTTTTTTTTTTTGATTTGGAGTCTCACTCTGTCGCTCAAACTGGAGTGCAGTGACTGCTCCTGGCCACCACAGCCTCGATCTGCTGGGCTCCGGCGATCCTTCCGCCTCAGCCTTCCAAGTAGCCAGAATTACAGGCACGCGCTACCATGCCCGGCTGATTTTTTTTGATTTATTGTAGAGGATGAGGTCTCGCCAACTTGCCCAGGTGGGTCTCGAACCCGTGGGCTTAGGCAATCCACTACACCTCGGCCTCCCAAAGCGCAGAATTACAGACTGAGCTACCAAGCCCGGCCTTGAATTTCTTTAGTCTTGTTATAAGATGACATCATAGCTACACATTTTATGCATTTCTTATAGGCGTATATAGTAATCTCCCCTGATCTGTGGAAGGTATGTCCCAAAACCCCCAGTGGAAGCTTGACACCATGGACAGTCCAAACCCCATATGTGCTATGTTTTTTCCTACACATACATACCTATGATAAAATTTAATTTATAAATTAGGCATAGTACTCTTGCCCTTTGGGGTTATTATTAAGCAAAATAAGGGCTACTTCAACACAAGTACTATGACTCTGTGACAGTTGATCTGATAGCCAAGATAGCTACTTAAGTGACTAATGGGCTGGTAGTGTATGCAGCTTGGATGTGCTGGACAGAGGGATGGTTCACGTCCAGGGCAGGATGGAGTGAGATTTCATCATGCTACTCAGAATGGCACACAATTCAAAACTTACAAATTGTTTATTTTTGGAATTTCTCATTTAATATTTTGGAGCCATGGCTGAACATAGGTAACTGAAACTGTGGAAAGTAAAATCACAGATAAGGGAGGACTACTGTGTAGGGGTGTGTGTGTGTGTGTGTGTGTGTGTGTGTGTATACATATATGTCTCCCTCCTAGTCCTGATTAAGGTTGGTGTTGAGGGATCTGGCAGGAAGGAGGTTACAAACTATGTTGTCAATTCTTGAAACGAATCCATGAGCCCCATGTAGAAACTCTCTAGGTCTGTTCCTCTCAGGGCATTAAATAATTCTCTTTTTGCTTCTAATGTAATCCTATGATTTTATTTCCTAAGAAAGTTGAGAAAGTTTACAGCTTTTGAACTATTTGTCTGTCCACTTAGTCATCGGCTCACCCAGGAGCTTTCATGACCAAGTCAAAATCACAATGTATCATTGCGCTTCAGGGCAGAACACTGCATCCTCAGATGATTGTTGTTGCTCACAGAAAGTTAAGGAATACAGCTAAGATGAATACCAAGGAGCTCTCAAATGGCAATTCCATTTTCATTCCTTCATTAAAATAATAAAACCCATAATAATTCATGGTTAGCAAAAAACACAATCATTGTGCTACATCGCAAATCACATCTTCTGGTTGACAGAAAATGAGAACGATAAATTATAAAATAAAATAACAATGATAATAATGCCATAACTTAAGGTCTTTCATGTAGTCCAGCTACAGATTTTTTACAAAATGGAATAATTTAATGAAAACAATACTGCTCTCTGTATAAGTTAAACACTTTTCTTCATTCTACCTAAGAACAAGAAATTATAGACACTACATTTTAAATCACTGTCTCAACATAAAGTGTAAACAAATGGAGTGATCAAACAAGCAAAAGGAATTGCTTTAAATTCCCTCCTGCCTTTCCTTTTTGGCTGATGCAATCATGAAACCCAGAGGGCAGGGCAACACTTTCATGTGCACAAGGAATGATTTGATAGCGGTATATGCAAGTCTTTCCTAAAGTCCAGTATGATGCATGTTGAAGAGTATAGTGAGTCTGTTTGACAGTAGCCTATCTTGGAGACAGAGACGGGAACTAGGTCAACATCTATTTGTATATAAAATTCCAGATATGGTTTTTCTTAAAGCTAAACCCCCATGAAGTACCTTGGGATGCTTTCAGAGCCCATGACCCTGGAGACAAGAAGGACCTCATGCTTTTGAAAATGTAAAAAATCTTCCCAATCCCTGCTCAGCATCACTTGTTCTTTCCACAGATTTCCAAGTCCAGTCACTCAAAACTGCATAGCTTTCAAGTGAAGTGAAAAATATCTTACAAGTAACATTTAACAAAACTGCTATTATGCTGGCAGAGGAGTTACCTTTTGCAAGTTGCTTGTTTTGCCTTTATTCTGACAGTGGTAGCCAGTCACTAAAGCTTCCAAGATAGAATGAGTTAATGAATAAAAGCAAGAGGATGGTTTGGGACTGGACACTGGACACACACACACACATCCTAGCTGCCTTCAAGGTCTGTTCTCCTGTTGGAATCCATATGACTCTAGCAGACAAGCAATCTGGTTCCAGAGAAGGGGTGATTCCGTCTTCCATGGGTCATCCTGAAAATGTACGTTTTCAAACTCTACATTTGCTTTTCTAATACTGTTCTAGATGTTCTTTTTTCTCTTATCCTTTTCTCCTCAGCACCACTGCCCATCCCCCACCCCTCTTTTCCAAAAAATGGAAAGGGTAGGATTTGGTCAGCAGGTAGAAAGGAAGTGAGCTACAAGAAAACGGCACTTGAGTCTGAAAGATCAACACATTGGTCAAGGTAACACATTGGTACCTTGACGATGACAGCATTAAAAAGGGACATATTTGCCAAAAACAAGATTTGACACTATCAGTAAGTCTCACTACCAAATGCTGCTTAAAATTTTAGAAATGAAATCGGCTTCTACATATACAGTCTTTTTTCCCCTTCTAGAGAATGCACATGCCCTCAAGGACCTTGGATGCAAGTACCCGGTCACCAAACTTTCCTAAATCATTCCCATCACCCACCTGGACAAGCTGGTTGAACTTAATGTGGTCTGTTCACAAGTTACCTGGGATTGCTTTTCTTTTGCTGTTCCTTGTGTTCTAAAATACTCAATATGTCTTGCTCTGGCTCTTCTTCAGTTACTGTGGCCAAAAGGCCTGGTCCCCTGTTCAAATGGCAATAACACCTCCTGGCCCCACAAGTTCCCAAGGATGTTGCTCCTAAATTCTTCTTTCTTTCCTTTTTTCTTTCTTTTCTCTCTTTTTTTTTGCAAGAAATTATCGTATCTTTCTCTGTATCACATATAGTTCACTCTTTACAGTACAAAGTGTTAAAATGTCAACAAAAATAAATATCAATGTTACAGTAGCTAGAATATTCAATAAAATAGATCCCTGCCATTCTTGATTGAAATGTTCAGTGAGACTTAATTTCATTTGGATTTTTTTTTCCAGAGATTTGCGAAGTCTCATGTTCCTGTTATTGCAGCTCATGTCGAGGGTAGTAAAGAGGCGCAGTTCTCTTCCCAGCAAAAAGCAGGGAGAGAGTGGACCAAGTCTGGGGTGGGGTAGATTTGAAATGCCAGTACAGTCACAAGATCTTCAGGATGCATGTTCCTTCGTTACCAAGTAGCAGAGCTGTAGTGTTTATTGGTCCTAACTGTGGCATCTGAACACTCCCCATCTGAAGAGTCACAGTCTGATTCTTCAAACTGCATAGGGTTCTGCAAAGTCAAGACAAAATAGAATCTTGGTTCATTTCTGCTGTCACTTAGTGTATATCGATCACCACCCACACAACAGGCACTGTGCTTGGTAAGGGGGCTACAAAGACAAACGAGACCAGGTTCTGTCCTTGTGGGGGCTTATGAAGAAAGAAGACAAAGACAATTTTAACAGTGCCCGCTGCCCCCACTTATATAGTGTTTATGGGGCTCCAGGTACCCTTTAAGTGCTGCGTATCTGTCAATCCATTTAACCTTTTCAACAACCCTGTGCGATAAATGCTGTTATTTTTCTTTTTCTTTTTCTTTTTTTGTGTCAGAGTCTCACTCCATTGCCCAGGCTGGAGTGCAGTGGCATGCTCACGATTACCCCAGCTCCAACCTGCTGGGCTTCGGCGAAACTTCCACCTCAGCCTTCCAAGTAGCCAGAACTACAGGCGTGAGCTGCCATGCCTGGCTAATTTTTTGATTTATTGTAGAGATGAAGTCTCACCACATTGCCCAGGCTGTTCTCAAAGTCGTGGGCTCAGGCAATCCCCTCCCCTCGGCCTCCCAAAGTGCTGAGATTACAGGCTTGTGCCACTATGCCCAGCCAGATGCTGTTATTATCCCCATTTTACAGATAAGGAAGCTGACCAATAGAGAGGTGAAGTGGCTTGCCCAAGGCCACACAGTAGGTAAGTGGAAAGGGTAGGATTTGCATCCATGCGGTCAGATATCAGGTATACACTTAAAACCACTACACTATCCTGCCTCTCCAAAGGCAGTACTGAATATGAAATAAAGTGTCTGCCAGGTGCGGTGGCTCATGCCTGTAATCCCAGCACTTTGGGAGGCAGAGGCGAGAGAATTGCCTGAGCCCAGGCATTGGAGACCTACCTGGGCAACTTGACAAGATGTCATCTTTACAATAATTCAAAAAATTAGCTGGGCATGGTGGCATAAGCCTGCAGTTCCAGCTACTTGGAAGACTGAGGCAGAAAGATTACCTGTGCCCAGTTGGTTGAGGCTGTGATGGCTGTGAGTGTGCCGCTGCACTCTAGCCTGGGTGACAAAGTGAGACTCTGACTAAAAAGAAAAAAATTTTTTTTTACATGTGCTGTGATAGCAGCATCTAGGGGAGAGTCAGGAGGCTCAGACTTTTAGCCATGTTGGGTGATGGGGTCGGGAGAAGGTGATGTTTGAGTTCAATCTTGAAATGAAGGGTTTTTTTTAATATCTGCACCTAATTTGGGAGAAACTGCTCTCATTTCTGGAAGCTCGGCTGATCTCTCTGCTACTTACTTCATGGAAGCCACTGTTGTAGCCTATACGAAATGAAATTTGAAGGTCCTCGAGATTTGAAAGAACTAGGACGGGAAGAGCCACGAAAGGGGAAGGGAGAAGCCCCCACCTCATAGCCACGCTCTTCTGCACACAGCTTGCCCAGAGACATCTGTGTCTTCACACGGCGCACAGCACACTCCTTGTCAGAGAGCCCATCTGAGTGTGACGATATGTCAATGGGAATCTCCGGTGTCTGGGACAGCAGGTCATCTAGCTTCTCTGCCAGGCGGTCTTCAAGTTTATCAGCTAACTCATCAGGACTGTTTGAGTGGTCACTGGTATTTCCCTCCTCTCCATCAGACACAGAAAAATTCTCAGAACTAAATGTTGAATACGACTGGCAGCTGCTGATACAGCGATGCGGTCTAGAATCACAAAGAACCAGAGGTACTTAATCATAAGAACAACCACTTTCCTTTTCTAATCTGTCAGTCATAGTCCTGGTGAAAGATAATCTAGTTTTTAGTCCTGCCACTGAGGAGGACTAAATATCAAGGTAGTTAGAAAGTATTTAATTTTAAACAATAGAGAGGTGCCATGGACTGAGTTTTGTTCCCTACAGAATTCTGTGTTGAAGCCCTAATACCTAATAACATGACTATATTTGGAGATAGGACTTTCAGGAGGTAATTAAAGTTAAATGAAGTCATAAGGGTGGGGTCCTAATTGGATAGGATTGGTGACCTTCTAAGAAGAGGAAGAGATTCTCTCTGTCTCTTCTTCTCTCCCTCCCTCCCTTCCCCTCTTTCTCCCCCTTCCCCTCCCTCCCTCTCTCAATGTGCATGCACTGAGCAAAGGCCATGTGAAGACACAGAGAGATGGCGGCTGCCTGCAAGCCAAGAAGAAAGCCCTCTTCAGAAACCAAATCTGCTGGCACCTCGATCTTGGTCTTCACAGTCCCCAGAACTATGAGAAATATCTATTGTTTAAATCATTGAATCCATGGATTTTGTTATAGCAGCCAGAGCAGACTAACACAGGGAGGCCCTTTACAAACTAATAAAATTACCCATAAAACAGCATGGCCATGCCTCACAAACTGCCCACAGCATTCTCAGTTTTAGTCTTGAATCTGTACTTATACTCTTCATCTTGAAGCGCCTATAAAATGAACGCTGATGAACTAGATCTGCTGTGCATGGTCAACTGCCAGAATGTACAATGGGAAAACATGGCCACAGTTAGTTCAAATTTCTCTATAAGATGGCATTCAGAGAATGACTTGCGGTTCAATAGCGAGTGTGGCAAACTCAGGATTTTTTCCCCATTCCACTAAAAGCCATCATGTGTGTTTGTGGGTTTTACCTCTGTCTTCGTGGAAATTCAACTTCACTATCTACTTCTCCTTCTTCCTCTTCTGAAGAGTCATCTCCACTCTGAGGAGAACAAGGAGAAAAGGGTTTTATTTATTTTAGTCTCTCTCTTTCTCTCCTTCTGCCCTTAACCCCCACTACCTGTAAAAGATTTAAAAGGCATTTAGTAGTAGTTTGCAGAATGTCATCTTAAAACGTTTGTATCCTCATCCATCCAGGTAGCAACTTTCCTGGGCGCCCATGATGGCAGGCCTGTACTAGATGCTGGAAGACATGTAGAGCAGAATAAAACTTTATATTTGTTTTTTGGTTTTTTTTGAGTTGGAGTCTCACTCTGTCACCCAGACTGGAGTGCAGTGGCCGTTCCCGGCCACCGCAGCCTCGACCTGCTGGGCTCCGGCAATCCTTCCGCCTCAGCCTTCCGAGTAGCCGGAATTACAGGCATGCGCTACCACGCCCGGCTGATTTTTTGATTTATTGTAGAGATGAGGTCTCGCTGCCCAGACGGGTCTCGAACCCACGGGCTCAGGCAATCCACTCATCTCAGCCTCCCAAAGGCGCGGGATTCCAGGCTGAGCCACCGAGCCCCGCTAAAACTTTATATTTGCCCTCAAGGAGATGAAGCTTCCATGAAGGTGTCCAGAGATGAATGACGGAGACAGAAATTGGAGAGGAGGTTTTGGATTTTGGGGCAGTCTCTTATAATCATTGCCACTAGTGGTTCCAGGCTCTGTCATCAAGACCACACCAAAAAAGTGATCTTTCAGTTCTTCAAAGCTCAGCAACTACTTTTCTCTTTTTAATTTACCAATCACGTTTTCACTACTATTATAGTTAGATAATATTATATATATGTATACATAATATACCAAGACATTATTTGAAGTTCAGACTATATTTTGTATTATATTCCTAATTCCACCATTAACACAACACTGCATACAAAATAGGTACTTAACCCCATAAATATATTCAATTTTTTTGTTAATTAAAAGATAGTGCTTAATGCATTTTAAAAAAATTTTTAGGTGGTGTCTCACTCCATCGCCCAGGCTGGAGTGCAGTGGCACACTCACGGCCACTCCAGCATCAACCTGCTAGGCTCTGGCGATCCTTCCGCCTCAGCCTTCCAAGTAGCCAGAGCTAAAGACATGTGCTACCACTCCTGGCTAATTTTTGATTTATTGTAGAGATGAGGTCTCGCCAAGTTGCCCAGGTGGGTCTCGAACCCGCGGGCTCAGGCAATCCACTCACCTCAGCCTCCCAAAGCGCTGGAATTACAGGCTGAGCCACTGAGCCCAGCTGCTTACTGTATTTTTACTGAGTCAGGATGTTGGCAGCAATAAGGGAGCTCTGGCTGGGGCAGTTAAAGTCCCTTGATTACTGAGGCTCTGAGGTTGATCTTGAAGGCTGGGTAAGTATCCAGCCAAGAAGATGATCTTCCCTTACAGAGAAAAACTCATCTCACATCAAGGGCATAAGAGCAGTCACACTTAAGATCAACTGTCAGCCGTGCTCGGTGGCTCAGCCTGTAATCCTGCGCCTTGGGGAGGCTGAGGTGAGTGAATTGCCTGAGCCCGCGGGTTCGAGACCCGCCTGGGCAACTTTGCGAGACCTCATCTCTACAATAAATCAAAAATTAGCCGGGCATTGTAGCTTGTGCCTGTAGTTCTAGCTACTTGGAAGGCTGAGGGGGAAGGATCGCCGGAGCCCAGCAGGTCGAGGCTGCGGTGGTCAGAGCAGCCACTGCACTCCAGTCTGGGCAACAGAGTGAGACTCCAACTCAAAAAAAAACAAAAAACAAAAAAATCAACTGTCCTTAAGCACAGTGTCATGACACACTAGATTACCTAATCTCTTGTGAGGTGGGTAATTTCATCTAAGTAAATACCAAATATAAGGATAATTTATTTTTAAAAAATTTTTTGAGTTGGGGTCTCATTCTATCACCCAGACTGGGGTCTCATTCTGTCACCCAGGATGGAGTGCAGTGGTTTAGTCAGGTGAGAGAAATGCTGGATTAAACAAATTTACCACATGATTTTCCAAACCACACCCTTGACCTCTTGGGCTTAGCCTCTCAACTAGCTCGGATTACAGGCACATGCCACCACACCCAACTAATTTTTAAATTTTTAAAATTAGCAGAGATGAGGTCTCACTATGTTGTATAGGCTGATCTCGAACTGTTGGGGTCAAGCAATCCTCTCACCTCATCCTCCCAAAGTGCTGAGATTATAGGTGTGAGCCACTGTGCCTGGTCCATAATCTTATTTTTTAACTTGTAGTAAGATGAGCTAATATTTTTGAAAGGGTGCTCTATGTTCCAGGCCCTGTTCTAAATGCTTTATATGTATTAACTCATTTAATCCTCATATCAATCAATGAGGCAGAGTCCAACCTTAGGCCCATTTTATAGACAAGGAAACAGAGGTTCATAGCAGTACTAAGTGGAAGAGCCTGGCTTTGAACTAAGATCTGTCTGATTTCCAGGCTCATTATCTTAATCCCTAGGGTGGTCCACTTCACAGCTGATAAACCCCAGGCAACTGGAGGATAAGGAGGAGAGAAACAGAATTCAGTGATGAGGAAATGGCTGGGTCATGATGTTATTAATTAAGGCAATGTTTTCCAAAGCATATTATGAAGAAAGCTAGTTTCATGAGGATTAGTAGTTTGTTTTTTTTTAAAGGCTGTATGGCCAAACAGGTGAGAGAAATGCTGGATTAAACAAGTTTACCACGTGATTTTCCAAAGCCTGTGATTTTTTTTTTTTTTGAGTTCGAGTCTCACTCTGTCGCCCAGACTGGAGTGCAGTGGCCGCTCCTGACCACCGCAGCCTCGACCTGCTGGGCTCCGGCGATCCTTCCGCCTCAGCCTTCCAAATAGCTGGAACTACAGGCGCACGCTACCACGCCTAGCTAATTTTTTGATTTATTGTAGAGATGAGGTCTCACCAAGTTGCCAGGCAGGTCTTGAACCCACGGGCTCAGGCAATTCACTCACCTCAGCTTCCCAAAGCATGGGATTACAGGCTGAGCCACCGAGCCCGGCATAAAGGCAAATCTTTAAAACATTTTAAATACTTTATGGCAACCTTCACTGCATATAATGAAGTAATTTATAAATATAAATTTTTATTAAAAGGCTTATAGATGTATCAAGTTTCCATTCATTTGTTCAACAAATATTGATTTAGAACCTGTTACATTAAAAAACACAACTGTCTACTAAGGCACAAAAAACAAGACAAAAAATTTGAACTCAAAAGAGTTCATAGTTTAATAAGACAGCCAGAAGTAAATACTTAAAACACAATCCTAATATATACTGAGAAACAAAAAATAGTATTTTGGGAGCACAGAACACAGCGATTAACTCCTTAGTTTTGTCAGAGAAAGCTCCACTAAAGTCAACGCTACTTGAAGTGAAAAATGAGAAGACTGACAAGCAAATTCAAGTAGGAAGTGCACTTCAGAGGAAATAGCATTTGTAAGTGTTAACAGGCAGAAAAAAAAGTCCATATGGCTGGGTGCGATGGCTCACACCTGTGATTCCAGCACTTTGGGAGGCCAAGGGGAGAGGATTGCTGAGTCCAGGGGTTTGAGACCAGCCTGGGCAACTTGGCAAGACCTCATCTCTACAATAAATCAAAAAATTAGCCAGGAATTAGGTACATGCCTGTAATTCCAGCTACTTGGAAGGCTGAGGCAGAAGGATTGCCTGAAGTGCCGTGAGCGTGCCAGTGCACTCCAGCCTGGGTGACAGAATGAGACTCCAACTAAAAAAATAAAAAATAAAAATAAAATAAATTTTAAAAAGAAAGAAAGAAAAGTATTCTGTCAAACTCACCAGTAATTGCACACGAATTGTCTTCTAAATTCTTATCCCTGAAAATTAAAAATTTTTTAAAAATCTATACCCCAAGCAAATACTTTCAACAACATGGAAAGGAAAGAGAATCTTTCAACAACATTGAAAGAGAAGGGAAAGTAAAAGTTTTTCATATAATGACTAGCAGAAAATTACAAAAGTGTCTTTTATTTAATTTAATTAATTAATTTTTTTTTTTGAGTTGGAGTCTCATTCTGTCACCCAGGCTGGAGTG